TTCACCTGTAACTAAAAAATACCAACTATGTGCGCAGTATCCTCGCACAGCACTGCATACAACATACATGGACAGTGATGGATACAGACGGATTAAAAAGGACCAGGATCCGTCTCCGTGCATGGTTTCATAGATTAGAGCGTGTGCGTGTCTCAGACGGCTCCTTACGCAACGAGCAGAGTAAACAGCGTGCGCGACACGCCGCGGCTCTGCTTGCAGCGCTACGCAACTCATCCTCGGACCGGGATGCTGCGCGCAACGACCCACAAACCCCAACAAACAAGGAGGCTTCAGCCTCGTGTTTCCCCGCATGTCCTCCGATGGGTTTCGCATGCACATGCTGCTGTGCGTGTGTTGTTGTTGTTTTTGTTGTTGTTTTTGTCATGTTGTGCGCATGTTGGTTTTCGGAGTGCGCGTTTGCGTCTGTAAAGCAACCAGTGAGTGAAAATAGAACACAATCCCAGGAGAGTCTCTGCTGTCCCCAAATGGCCATGGACACACGCTGAGGTACACGCACGCACGCACACACACGCGAGCGCGCGAGCGCGCACTCCCCCTCCGCCGTTGCACCTTGCTCTCCCTTCCACCTGCACGTCCCGTCCCGTGTACCTGCTGGAGGAGAAACGAATGGAGGGGACGGCGTGGTACCTGCGTTTGGGGGGGCGGGTTCGGGGGTGATGAGGGGGGCTCAGCCGTTCTCTCCTCCTTTGGTTGTCCCTCCGATCCACCTCTCGTTCAGCCGTAGCGAGCCGAGGCGAGCCGAGCTGAGCCGAGCCGAGCGGACCGCGGCGAGGCTCAATCCTTTTACCCTGCGATGCTGAAAATGGCACCAGTATTCCCTCTGATAGCGGCAGCCTGCCTCCCCCTCTCTCTCTCTCTCTCTCTCTCTCCCTCTCTCTCTCTACCTCCCCTCCCTCCCCTGCCTGTCTGCTGCCATGTTGAGTGCACGCGGGGCTGAGGGGCGGGCTGAAAAGCAGGGGGGCGGGGGGTGTTGGAGGAGAGCACGAGGTGGAGGAGAGAGAGAGAGTAAAGGGGGGTCTCGGGGGGGGGGGGGGGGAGAAAGCAATTAGAAGACAGCCCCTCTTCCCTCCAGTCGGGAATAATGGAATTAGCTCGGGGGGGGTGTTGAAGGGGAGGTGAAGAGGAGGTGAAGGGGGGAGGGAGGGTTGGTCCTGCAGCCTCTGCCGGGGAGTCAAGCAGTCACCGCGCGCATACGTGCGCACGCGTGTGTGTGTGGTTGTGTGTGTGTGTGTGTGTGTGTGTGTGTGTGTGGGTGCGTGTGTGTGTGGGTGCGTTTGTCAGGGTGAGAGAAGGAGAGAGAGAGAGGTTGCTGATGTACTTATGGGAGGGAGGTAAGGAGTGGCTGAGCCGTGGGACCACCTGCTACCTGCTTCCCTCTCAAACTTCCCTCTCTCCCTCTCCCTCACTCTCTCTCTCCCTCTCTCAGCACCTGGCAGGAGAGAGAAAGGTAGAGCGGCAGCTTCAAATCTCATTTATGTCTCAGGTTTGCTTTCCCTGCTCCTCCTCCTCCTCCTCCTCCTCCTCCCGTACCTCTCCCTCTCTGCCTCGGTTTCTCTGAGTGGGTGGCGAGGAAGCGGCGTGTGTGTGCCCGAGAACAAAACGGTGTGTGTGTTTGTGAGTCATGCTCTTACTCATTTATGAAAAGAGATGACCAAAAATCCCTGAGTGAAAGACAGCGATAGGAAAAGATGCTGGTGGGGGGAGGAGGGAGGGTGGGCGGGATGACATAGTATGTTTGTGAAAGTGTGTGTCTGTGTGCGTGTGTGTGTGTGTGTGAAGGAGATAGGGAGAGGGTGGTCTCTGGATGGAGAGGGACTGAGCCACTGCGCGGGCGAGATATGTAGAGGCCTGTATGCGCGTGTCACTGATTGTGTTATGAATGAAAATAAGGAGCTAGGGAGGGTGTGTGGGGGTTGGGGGGGGGATGCTGGGGGAGGGGAGGCACTGCGATTCTCCTCCCATCCGGTCGTCTCCTCCTCTCTCTCTCTCTCTCTCTCTTCCTCTCCTCCTCTTCTTGAGTGACAGATGAGGGACTGCGAGCAGCTTGCTCCGGCGCGCGTCAATAATTAACGTCCTCTCCTTGTTTTCATCGGCAAGAACTCCAAATTCCTCTCTGCATACGGCGGCCTCCTCCCTCCCTCCACGCCGGACGTTCGATGGCCCATGATCGCTCCTGTCATGCACACGCATGCCAGTAAAAGGACGTGTGCCGGCACGCCTTGTCAGTCAGTCAGTCACACGAGCTCACGGTGGTTCAAGGGCAATTGATTTGGAGTTTAATTTCTCTCCCGGTGCTCGTGACGCAAAGAGGATGCGTCTCCGTCTGACCTTGACAGCAGACAGGGAGAGTTTTGTCTCTGTCGCCGTGCTCACACACACACACACACACACACACACACACACACACACACACAAAGCATCTTCACCTGGAAACGTCGAACCCTGTGCAGTATTATAAATGGACGCTTTCCATCTGCTTTCTAATTCGAGCTAACATACGGCAGCTCCTAATTTTAGCAGCAGCCACGAAATAGTCGCCTTTTAATAATTCATGAGTTCACGAGACACAGAGCCTGCTCCTTGCTGGCGTGCTTATCACCATGGTGTTGCTCAGGCTGAAAAACAGTGGGGGAGATGGAGGGTGAGGGAAGAGGGGGTGGGTGGGTGGGTGGGGGGGGGGTCTAGGCCTGTTTTTACCAGAAAAGGGACGGTGCATCGTTTCGTTCCACCATGAGAGTTGATTAAGCCTGTAAACTTCTCAGTAAAAACGAAGAAACGATCCCACTCACCTGATGCTTTAGAAGAGAGGCCCTGACAGACAAATACCCCCCCCCCCCCCCCCCCTCCACGCCTGCTCCGTTTGAAAGCTGTTGATTAGTATTTGACAGTTTAGACATAAGCACCACCAGCTGCATGGAGCCACACCGCGCACATACACGCTCCGTCCTCCCCGGGACGCGTTTGTCTTGATCAACGCAGATCTGTGAGTGAGGCGTGATTTCACCCACAGCGCCCACATCAACCGGGACGGACAGGGGTTAAAACCCGCTGCGTCTGAAGAAGCGTTTGAAAGCTCCTCTCATCTCGGGCTCGCCCCGCACGCTCTGACGCACGGGCTTGTTTTTGGTGCGCGCGTGTGTGTGTGTGTGTGTGTGTGTGGAGTGTGTGCATGTTGCTTGTTCTCAGGTGTGTTTCCCACTCAGAGGGAGCAGCAGGAGAGCCGCTGTCCTCAGTGTGAGGCCTTAGAAATACTAACAGGTGCTCGACGGTTTGTGGTGTTATTAAAGTCCAGCCCGTGGGAAATAGGCTACTTATTAGTGAATAAAGTGGCTGTGTGATATTTCAGCACACATTTAAGTTGTGGATTTATTCATCTTTTATCTTTACAGATTTACTGCGGCTATTTTGTTTTCCAGAGATGTGTGTGACAGATTCAGCGGTGGGGGGAGAGGGGGGGGTATAAGGGTCAGGGGCATCGAGGATTCCACCACACACCTTAAATCAATGGAAGGCAGGGCATGATGGGGGGGGGGGCGCTCTTTGGTGCCATAGAGACGGGAGGACAGTGGTGTTGGATACTGTTACCAGGCAAAGAAAACGTGGGGTGGTCTGCTGCTGTGGAGGGTAGAAAACATTACGGCTGAGGGGCGAGGGACACGGAGTATTCTTGCTTGGATTATTTACTGTAATACAAATAATTCACATTTTGTAAAAAGACTTTTAAGTAAAAAAAAATAAATCAGTGTGCTGTGTATGTGAATTTACACAGTGCTGTGTATGTGAATTTTTTACGACTTTGATGGCCATGGCTTGTGTAATGTTTCGTCAAATCGATCAATAACCTGTTCGGTGACGCCGAATCCTGGAGCACAACCCAGTGGCCGTTTCTTTGAAGTGCGTTAAAAGTTATCATTACACCGAAGCACCCCGTCTTTTCCAAACACTGTAGTAATTTCTTGCAAAATGAGCTCATGACTTGTATGTAGATTGACAAACCTCTAAAACATGACCCCAACATTCTAAGTGCTCGGTGACTTAAGGCCTTGTAACAGGCTGCTCTGCCTGAGCTCGCGGCCGCGGTACCCTCGCGCCATCTCCTGGGCGGTACAAGAACTACCGGCTTTTACTGAGATTAAAGCTGGAATAATGAATGCTATGCTGCAAAATGCATGCCGGTCTACTGTTGTTTAACACCGTCGCATTGAGCAAAAGAAGGAGGTGTAGTTATGTGCGTTATGGTCGTTACAACGAATGGATGTGGCAGATGTGTCGGCTGCAAGTGATGTTTGTTTCCCTTCGCTGTGAGATCATGTTAATGTGGAAGCTTCATAGATGATTCAGGTAATACATTTTCTCTTGGTTGATTTTGGCTTGTCGTTAAATTAGCAGTTTTATTAATTATGCCATCATTTTTATTCATAGCACACAACATACCACCTGACAGCTCCAATACTGCAATACTGCATGTTTTAATCATAAAACGGCTTATCAATTTTCCCTTCTAATCAAAGATTTGCCAAAGATGTATGAATTAATTAACCTCTGTTTGGTCTGTGAGCCATTTCATTACAGTATTATGATTAGTGGAACGATTAAAAACCATATTCCACGAAAACCTGCTGTGTTTTCTTTCTAGATGTAAAGAGGTGTGCCAAACGCCAAACGCCAAAGACTAAAAAACAAACAAAGAAATTCATAGATATATACAATAACAGTTCACAACAAGTGTTGTGTTTCTGTGTTTTACAGATATTGTCAGCAGCTGATATTCTTAAAATGTCTTTTTTGTGTCTCGAGCAACAGACCGAACGAAAACAAAGACAACTAAAAGAGGAAGAGTGAACCTGCAAAACAATACTGTCTGGAAACTGCAAAAATCCTACATCCATTGTTGTTGTATGCCATCAAAATGTGGATAATATATGTAATTAAAAAGAAATGAAAAATGTTAAAATGTTACGACAGGGATGTGTCCACACTTTGGTTTTCATTGCACACTTTAATCATTTAGTAAACAGATCTTCACAGTAACAATGCAATAGCAGAAAACAGAAGCAAATCACGGTGCAGCTTTTCAGGTCTTCAAACTGACTTTGGGTATTTACACTGACAATGTGAAGATAAAAGCACTGTGCCCAAAGTCCTCCTGGTGGATCGATGAGGCATTTTTAGCCCCGTTCTCCCCCTCAAAGCAAAAGTCTCCACTCAGACTGTACACCATTTGTAACTCTATACATGTTGTCTATACTGCCGACCCCAAAACATTCAAGTACTGTCCTTCTCTCCTTGAACGGGTCGCCGGTCATCCAGTGCACAGGAGTCAGAAATCAAATAGGCGTGTTGTTGTCCTACCAAGTGAACATCAGAAATAGTATTTAAAGGAAATTTAAATAGCTAAACTCTATGGTAACTTAGGTTATCATATCTCAAAGTATAGACCAGCATAACAGAGAAGTGATTAAAGGGCTCTCAATCTTTGTGACACATCAATAAATAGTTATCTTGACATGAAATCTCATAAAATTTCCACATACAAACTTTAACATTTTGTGATGCATGAATGGCAAAACAGTATCACAACAGACAACTCTAGATGTTTCCGGTGCTCATTTAAGAATGTCAGTGAATTTGAATGAAATGATCATTTCACAAACAAACCATCTGGTCTCTCTGCATTATTTTTGGTTTGGAAAACACAATTTTAGTGTTGTACTGCATTTTACGAACGCTACACTTGCACGGGAGATGGGGGAAAAGAAGACGATTCAAAAAAGAGACACAAATCAGAATAAGGCAAAGTGAACAAACAGTTAAATATACTTGCACTCAGATTAATGCCGTTCAGAAGTATGTGATAACATGTCAGTCTGGTCTGATACTGTGACATTTTGTGACAGCAAAGACTTTTTGAAGCTGTTATTCCCGCGGTGGTTGGCGCTTAGTCCCGGGCCTCACATGTTTTACAAAGAAAAAAACGATAAAGCTTTTTGTCCGGCAACACGAGCCGACAAGTCAGAGTACTTTGTCATTTGGTTACGTAGTAATGTGATAAAACACCTAAAACAAACTGGCACCCTCCACATTCAGAACAAACAAAGAATTAAATCAGCAACAGTCAGGAATCGACGGTTCCTATCCGTCCCACACAACAAAAATGCATCTGTTCGATACAAAGCCCCCCCCCCCGTCCTGTCCCGCCCCCCTGGTGTGAGCACACTTAAAAGCAGCTTGCAGAGAGGCAATGATGGCAAGTCTTGGAATTCACTGAATTCAGCTCGATATCTTGTGTGGACTCTCGCTGCGATCCCATTGGTCAAAACAGCCACAGACTCGGTCCATCGTTCACGTGTGTGTCGTTTCCCGTCACCTGGCGCGTCTTGCCCTCACTACCTGTGGCCCGGCGTCCTCTGGGTGGCCTTCGGGTCCCCGCCAACATCTTCCTCCAAAACGTTACCATGACCCTCTTTCTCTATGCAGCCCGCCAGGACCTGCAGCACCAGGCGGAGCCTGCGGTCCAGGGCGTGCAGGTGAGGCCGGATGAGGATCGGGGACAGTCGGTCCCGGAGGAGGGACTCCTCCATCAGGGAGCTCAGCTGGTACTCCTCTTGGGCCAGCAGCTGCAGACGCAGGTAGGTCGATGTCTTCAGCCTGGAACGGGTAAGTAAAGAGGATATTTGACATTAAACCATACTTTTCCAACTACTATGGCGTCACAAGATTATCTTTCACGCCAGTTTGCATCTGATTTGCGATCAAAAGCACAAATCTGTCCATCTTGGCACATGGCAACCTTATATTTCTCTTGTCTTTTTCTCTTTCTGCGTCGCTGTGTCTCTCTTAGGAATTTGGAAATACTTTCTAACGTTGGGGTCAGTCTAGCCAGGTCAGCAGTTTGAGAAAAAAAAAGATTTATAGGCCTTTAACACAGGAAGCAGCAACTCTAACACTGCACTCTAAAAACCATTTCCACGCACCCCTCGGCGAGCGCTGTGCCAAAAGTTCAATCTGCTCTGAAACTCCATCCAGCACAAATACAGAGAGAGAGATTTACAAAACAAGCAAAAGGCCGACCTGCAGCACTGGATGAGAGGCACCAGGATGGACAGCTCATCGTGGGAGTGTTTTCCAAAACTACAGAGAAAAACACACAATGTCACACGTTGCTATTCATCTTTTTGCTGAATTACTTTTGATTAGAAATGTGTAAAGCAAATATTATATATATATATAAATATATGCTTAATGAACTTTTCTTCAACACAACCGTTTTCCGTAGGTGAAATATGTTTTGGGCTGTTAAGACAGGCCCTTGAAAAGAAGCTGAGTGTCTTTACCCTCTTCCGTTGTCCAGGTGAATAATGAAGGTGTCGTTTCCAAATTTCTCAAAAGTTTCATAGTGATGTCGATCCATGTTACCTGAACGAGCAGAGAGCAAAGTGGTCAGAGCGTCTGTGGACGCGGTAGTAGATTAACATACGGTTAATCTACTACGTAATTTACGTAATTTTCTTCTTACCCATTAAGAAGTCAAAGATGGTCATGTCCATCACGTCCAGCAGTCGAGTCCCTCGGTCGTACGGAGGAGTCTTCTTCACCTCGTCACAGTAATCCTTGTCCACCTCCCACCTGCGAACGCACACCCGTAAATAGGTTTAAAGAAATCATTGCATCCATGTCCAGTCGGAGCAATGAGCCGCGGGCAGCGACCCTGACTCGGAGGCGTGTCCTCGTTTCTTTACTCTGCTTTCTTGCGTTTGCTGTAGGATCGTCTCCAGGGGTTCTTCCATGACTTGCGTTTGGCCAGGTTCTGGTCCGGCAGGAAGGCTGCCAGCGAGCCTTCGATCTGGTCCGGTTTACCGCACAGCGCGTGCTCGGTGGAGCAGTAGTACGAGCACTCGCCGTAGAAACACAGGTTATTGGCTAAAGGGAAGAAGTAGAAAAAAACTGAATTAGAAATTGTGATGCCGTGGTCGTTTATGAACGAGGGAGCAAACATGGTGGAATGTGATGAGGCCTTCAAACAACTGTCTCAATTTATGTACAGTCTTCTTCTCATCTTCTCATTCAGAAACCTCTTCTTGCACTTATTATTCAAACTACACATTGGGAAATGCAGCAGATCAAATTGTTTATTTCATGTTGAACACTAATATGTTTGTGATGTTTTTTGGAGCATCCTGAAAACCGATACGTGACAAATGGATTACTATATATTCCTTCATTTGATTTCACCTGTACTCTGACAGAGTCCATAGTTTTCCCCTAATCAGTGTAAAACCCTAAATAACCCTAAATTACCCAATATATTCTAGATTGTGTCATTTAGTTCTATTGAGTGGTTTTATATGGATGTGTATTTATTTTTTATCAAAGCGTAGCTTGAGTTAATGAGAATAATCTGGTTTGCGGTGCCATCTGGTGGTGACGTTTGGCTACTACCACACAGGGCACAACACGTTCTTACTATTTTTACTCCCTTGAAGAAAAGACCAGGCCATAAAAAACCCAGAACTACAGAAACGTATCCCACTTTGTAAGTAATCCAGAGTCTTACAGCCAGTGTTGCGTGCAGCTCTGTCCCCTAACAATGAGTAATGCAGCCAGCTAGCTGCAGTATTGTGCCACGTCTACCTGGTGAGACGAAGAAGGTCTTGTAGAGGTTCTTGTCGCGCGTCACGTCCCTGATCTCCCTTGTCATGTTGACGAGTCGCCCTGCCACTGGGGGCACGCGCCGGAAATTAAGGATCCTAAAGAACGAGAGAGACATTTAAAGAAAGTTAATGGTTGAATTGATTTTTACATCCAACGTAACGGCTTTTTAATGGGTGCCAATGATATCACGATTGCCAATTTCAGACAGTTTTACAAAAATGCTCTAAAACGTTCTTGTCCGCTTCAAAAGATCTTTAGTCTGCAGCTCAGGTGATTTTTAGAGCGTTTAGAACGTCCCCGGCCAAATGTCCATCCATGGAAAAAAGTGAGACATCAAGATATTTTGTCTTTACAGTGCAGGCTTCATCGGTATCATTGCAGCACGTACATTGTTTTCTTTCAATTTGTTAACTTTACATTGACTTCCATCTGTTTCAAAACAAGCAGAAAACGGCTGCATGCGTCTTCCTTCACCCGTCCCACCAGCACACAGACAAACACACACCAACCGTCTCAACTATATTTAGACGCTTTAGTGAATTCTACACTTTGTGGTCTCAAACTCTTGTGCTTCAACTTTTGCCACCACCCCCTCTCCCCCTCGCCCCCTCTCTCCCCTCTCTCCCTCTCTCCCATTCTTTTCATCAGCTCTCATGTCTGAACACTATACAACCTATTCAGCCCATCTTCAGCCCGCCTCACTGTATGTTTGCTGTCCAACTGACCCTGACCTGTTTGAGACTGAAGCTAAGCCTCCTGGGAGCATTCACGGCCACACACACACACACACACACACACACACACACACAGAGTTGGGGAAACTTTAGCCTACAGAGGAACGCATTCAGGAGCTGCAAACTGCACCGTCATGTCGGGCCCAGGTGACAAAGGAACACCTGTGTGTGTGTGTGTGTGCGTGTGTGTGTATTTAGCCATGAGGGGACACTCAAGCTGCTATTTGTGTGCACTCTGCCTGCCAGACACCCCTGAGTCACAACGAGTTCCCAAAGATGATAAAAACAGTAGGGATAGGAACAGATGGTAAAACCCCCCCTGAAGTATTTACAGGAATGCAGCGATTCGGCCCTTTACCTAAAATCTTGAATGAAATGAAAATATATTTAATATGTTTAATATGGCAATATTTAATATGTTTAATCAGATTATTTCAAATCAGAAATATAACAAAGTAAATGAAACAAATAAATAAAAATAAATAAATAAAAGTTTTTAGCCTCATACACAATGTTAAAGTTAATGTTGAGTTCTTTTTTTTTTACCTTGTCAGCTGAAGTCTGTCGAATTAAAGGATCATGTGGGAATCAATATACTCCGCGGAGGAGACGATCGATGTGTTATCGAACGCCTCATGTAACAAATCGGATCCCGCTCAGATTTCCAAAGCTCGAGTCCATTAAGACACACCTCTGCTTTATAAATGCTGTTGTGGTTTCTATGAACGGACACGAGCCACCGGTCATTCTTCCTGGAACAAACCGTGAAGGCTGACTTGGAAACCCGCTTGGACGGGAAACGCCTGAGTCACACAGAAACCTCAACAACTGCTTTTTTTTTGAGGGGTTTACGAACTCACCTGTCCAAGTGAAAAGCGGCGATCTCAGAGTTGTGCCTCTCGAAGTCAGAGAAGTAGAAGAAGTCCGGAGGGGTTTCCTGCTCTCGAGTCTGCCTGAAAGACAACGGTTAGGGAAGCGTTTAACATGAAGTCAGCAGGATCGTTTCCAGTCGAGGCCTTTCATTTCTGAACCTTGGATAAGATTACCAAGACGACAGATGATAAGAAAGAACATTTCTACATTTATATCCGCCATAAACTCAAGAAGATCTCTTCGAATTGGAGGCCGAAGGGTGAATTCATACCATCCCCCTCTTGAGAACCCGCTTATCACAAATGGGATGATTTTATAGCCAATATTGTAACAACGGGGTCAGTAAGCCAATTTAAAACAATATCTCCATATGCGCTTCGACGTAAGGTACGACGTTTCAAACGCCCAAATCTCCTCGGCTTTCATTAGATTCTCATCTCAGCTCAGACAGACCAAGAGTCTTGAGTGTGGACGAGCTGGATGAGAGTCTCCGATCCCATCCTGTAGTTCCTCCCCACGGATTGGGCTGAACCTCGCTCACGTGCGTCTACTCAAAGCCGACACTTAGCGTCTCCCCTCGTGCTCCTCCTCCTCCATCACATTAGTGGGGATTACACCTCGAAAGCCGCCACTGTTTTCACTCCTCCTTCTCCCTCAAGTTTCCTCTGCCAGCAGAAGCTAGAGTGTCCTTTTCTTTCGCACGTCACGGAAGCGGCAATTTACCCATAAATCAACTGCTGCTTTCTCACCCGGAGCCAGGAGGGGACCGGTGGTGTTTCAGGGGAGCGGATGGGAGACGCTGTGGAGGTGAAGGAGGGCGGAACAAAAGTTGCTTTTAAGCGGTGACCCTCATGAGCCGGAGCACTCAGTGCACCTTGTTATCTCTCAAATAGGCCTTTTTATCAAAGGGGTCACCAGAAAAGACTCGGTGGGGCAAATATATTAACCTCATACTTTAATGAGTTACTCCTCGTGGAAAGTCTGTAGAACAAAGTGAGATATTGAGGTTTAGGCTTCCTTGATTGCACTTTATGCTTTGAAGAGACCCTGACTGACAGTCATCACAGCCTTTGGTTGCCATGGTCACTAAGACGTGAAATGCAATTTCCTGTCACGAGAGAAGCTCAGAATTTCAATTGCACGGTAATTGCAGGCTTGTGATGTGAAACGCCATCGCACAAGCACCCTCTCAAATATGGACGCACACACACAAACAGACACACACTCAAACACTATATGAATGAGTGTCCTCGACAATAAAAGACGCTTTATCCCAAGTGGAGCCTGAGCAGAAGCTCCAGCAGTGCGCGCGCTGCCGACGGGAGGAAGCGGAACCGCCTTCGTGTGTGAACTCAATTCGCACACTGCTGACTCAGCAGCCGTAGTGCTCTTTCATGAGCCGGGGCCTGCACAGAGGAGGCCTGTGTTGGAGGAATCGGGCGTACACTCTGCACACCGGCCCAAACAGAAGGGACTCGAGGAGGCGGGGCCGAGTGCAACGGAATGCTGAAAAATACATTTTCCAACCCAACCAAAAACCGTAACCCTCAACTGAACGCTCACTGTGGAGAGCTTAACGCTGTGGGACTACGACAATGCGGGCGACTCACAGAGCGGACCACGCTGGGATGGCGACCTGTCAATCATAAAGCAGCCCGGGCCCTGAAGCACACACTGCTTCAGAGTCTGTTTTAGGCAACTTCTCCCATGTGACCCTCCACACGGCTCCTGCAGCGCCTCTACCGATCACGTGCACGTTCCTGCGGACACGGGGATCTAATTCTTGAGGACTTCAACCACCAACGCTTTGTACGCACGCAGCCATCGTACGCACGCAATCTTTTAATAAAACGATCCTCTCTGTTGGGTGGTAACAGCACACATGTGAACAAATCAACAATATTTATATTTTTCTTCTTGCTACGGATTCAACTGAGCGGACGAGAGAGCGAGGCGGAAAGGGAGATCCGTCATCTGTTGGTAATCCGCAGCAGGTTTCAGGCCCCACTGACAGCCGTCTTTGTCTGACCCTCATTCCTCTGTCCCTGTGTGTGTGTGTGTGTGTCTGGGAAGACGCGGCGAGTACTTTTCTGTGAGATATGAGTCAAAGCAGTTGACAAATTTGTACACTCACACACAAAAAATAAAAAGAACATTACGTACGAACCATTTCTGTGTGGTTACAAAGTGTTGCATTTTGTAGGAGACTGCGTGCTTTAATGACAATGTAGCCATGAACAACTTTTGTTTGTTAAAGTCGTGGCTTGTAGTGATGAACCTGCAGGCAATTATAAATCAGCAACTCATCTCAGCTTTATGGAGCTTAATGGTGCGTTTAGGCTCGATATTCAGCTCTGTTCTACCTGCTGAATAGATGGATAGTTGGAGAAGAGGAGCCGGAGGCCAAAAACAGAGCGAAACACGGCCGTGTGAATAATAACGTTGCTTCGTAACTGCCGCATGTCTAGATAAGCACATGTTTATATCAATTCAGTGGTAGATATCTGTGTCGTGTCGCAACTTGTTTCTGCTGCCCCTAAGTGGCCAAACAAATCTGTTATTTCAGGCAATAACATTAAACCCTAATGAATGTTTTCTCACCTGCTTTGATTTACCAATCCTGTTTGGACCCCGTGTAGCCAAATGAATTCCCCCCTTGCCAGCCTGACCCTACTTAACTCCAATTACACTGTTAAACACCCAGCAGCTTCTCCCCTTTCTGTGTGAGCAGCACTACACGGTTTATCTTTTGTACTGTGAATTAATCTGCCCAGTCTGTTTTTGCACATGAGGGGTTATGGAGAAAAACAGGTGATTAGTGCAATACATCCACTCTAGATAGGACCTCTTCAACCTGTCATCTGTTGGTGCATGCAGAGGAATCAGACAGAGCTGCGCGTGTATTCATACATTTCGTGTGTATTCCTTGATCTGTGTCTGCTGATTTATTTTTCTCCACACTTCTTCGCTTCCTCCAGCATCAGTATCGGAGAGGGGTCTGAGGATTGTCCCGGGGACCCGAGGTAGCCGTCTAGATTGAATTTCGGAATCGATGCTGCACAAGTGCTGCTCCAGTCGGGGATATTTTCAACAGCCGGGGTGAGGCGCCGCCTGGAGGGAAAAGTTATCTGCATGTGTGGGAAGCAGCACGGGCCGTATTATCATAAGAACGCTGGGAAAAAGACTCGCCTTGAAGAAGACGGATGACGGCCTCAGTCAGGGCTCCAGTTTCAAAGTTATTAGATCCTCATAAGCGGGGCGAGAGTGGGGCATTGATGTGAAGGCGGAGGAAGATTATTCCTTTCTGCTGCATGTAGTATTCAGTACGCGTAGAGGTGTAGTGCAGTTATCTATTGATTGATCTTTTATCAGAAAAGCGTGCCCTGGGGAGGGATGTAGTTACATGAATTAAGTGGATTCAAGATATGAGTCATTAACAAAATAATGATTTTTTCATTTAGGACCATTTTAAGGGAAATGTTCCATAAAAGACACACTGGTAGGGATTTGTTATTCATAGAAGGCAACTGACAATGTGAATGGTGTCGACTAACACTGCATTTTAACTGACGAGTTAGTCATTCTATTTTAATTTACATAATATCTCTAGAAGGATGTGCAGATTTTCATTGCAAGCAAAAAATTTTCATATTTAGTGTTTCTCACCAAATGTCTCTATTCAAAGGTATTACAATTATTTAAAAAGTGTTGCACACCTACATTGAATACCACATTAGTTTGCAGTACTACATGTCATGGCCCTGCAATGCCAGCAAATGCAAATATACATTCAACAACTCTTAATCTTAATTGGCCTACAAATGTGTAGTAAGATCCCACAACCCGACTTTTCTCTTAAAACGTCATCTAGCTTGTTCTGCTCTCCATCTTCCAATTATCTCAAACTGCTTAATCTCACTCATTCCTTGTCTCGCAATTATCTCAAGGCCCTTCAGTCAGTCTCGGCTGCCGGATCTCCGCAATAAACTGAGAACTTGAACTCTCAATCGAAACGTGCCGCTTTGAGGGTAGCTGCGTGGCTGCGGGCGAGGTCACTGTCTGTGACCCCCGCAGCTCTCCGGCGACCTTTCAGATGACGAAACCCCCTCGGAGCCGCTCAAACGTTGTGTCTGTGCGTGTGTGCGTGCGAGGCCCGCGCGTTGAGTCACGGTCCAGCGTCAAACAGAGAGATCGTAGCTACCCGACTGTCTCATTTGGCCAGATGGCTCGCAGTCCCTGTCTCTATATGTCAGGGATCAGACCGCGGCTTATGGCCGTGCAAAGCGCTGCTGCTCTCCATCGTCCCTCTGTGCATGCAGACGGCACACAGGGCCGGAAATATAACAGAGGGGAGACTACGTGACTGTCGACGGGTCGGGGATTAAGGACAATAACGGGAGCTAAAATATGAACGTTGAAAGGTCTGATCAAAATATGATTGTCAGTGAGTGAAAACCCTTTAATGCCTGGAGGGGGATTAGTGTAAATACAATAAACGAGTGCAGTGCAGCACTACGTGAATAGAACATGAGTAATTTCATGATCCCTGCGCACAATTCATCTCCCTTCATTTCAGCCTGGAAACGTTCAAAAGGCGGGTTGCTTAGGACAGTAAAACAGATTGCTGACAGTTTGCGTTCACATTGAGAAATAAAAAGCAAACGTAACTTTCTCTGGATATTCTTAAAATTACATCTTTTTTGAAAATCCAGAAGATATACGGAAAATACTGTTGACTAAAACGATTAACTGACAAACACAAGATGTTTGCTGCTGATTTCTTGTTTAGAAACACAATTGTAGTGTCAAAATCCTGCTCCTTCATCTTGACTACTGTCAACGTTAAATCTCAATTTACACATGATTGTGTTGACTGATCCTTCATTTTGTCCGGCTTTACCAGGATATTACAAAGTGTCCGGGATGTTGGTGCAGATTAGTCTTCAGCAATGTGGTGCGGATCTTTAGAAAATCCCTGATCCCTGGTCAACATGTACAATATATATATATATATATATATACACACACACACATATACTTCCCCAAGTTAAATCTGTGAGGCTGAATCCCACTTCCTTCT